GGATGGAAATGACCTGTGTTCCCGCCAGGGCCTGCTCGCGCTGGGCGACTACATGAACGTGCAGTGCCACGCCTGCATCGGCGGCACCAACGTGGGGGAGGACATCCGGAAGCTGGACTACGGGCAGCACGTCGTGGCCGGCACGCCGGGGCGTGTCTTTGGTAAGCGAGGGCCGCGCTCGGTTCCCCACATTGCCTGCGCGGGGTCACGTGTAGGAGCGAAGGGCGGTCTGGAGTGGTCGGTTCCTTCTCCGTGGCCTGAGGTCTAATCCTCCCGAGTCTGGCTTTTCAGACATGATCCGGCGCAGGAGTCTGCGGACACGTGCCATCAAGATGTTGGTTTTGGATGAAGCCGATGAGATGTTGAATAAAGGTGAGAAACAGAAGGACTGATTCTCTGCCTGCGCACGTTCACAGTGCGGGGTGGAAGCGGGCACCAGTGCCGTGCTCTCAGTAGGGCAGTGTGTCTATGGGGCATAGCTGTGCCCCGTGGGCCACGGGGGCAGGAAACTCAGTTTGGTCGTTTTGTGGCCGCTGCTGCTAAGGCTGACCACAGCCAGCAGGGCACAGCCTGTCTCCCCACCAGATGCGTTGTTTTCTGTGTGTCCGGGGTCAGCACAGGTGACGGGCCCATGAGCTGAGCTGTGGAGAGGATTTTGGCGGAAATCGTAGGCTGTACAGTCGCAGCTCTGCACCTAATTCAGTGTGAGCCTGGCCTCACCTCTGTGCGGCTGCGGCCTCAGGTTCCTGTGGTCTTGTTCCTCCAGGTTTCAAAGAGCAGATTTATGACGTGTACAGGTACCTGCCCCCGGCCACGCAGGTGGTGCTCATCAGCGCCACGCTGCCCCATGAAATCCTGGAGATGACCAACAAGTTCATGACGGACCCCATCCGCATCCTGGTGAAGCGGTGAGCACGCCCTGCCCCTCCACGGTGCTGAACGGGCACGTGGGCGGCACTGGGGTTCAAACACGGAACCCTGATCGCCTTTTCTGAAAAGCCAGCTTTTCACGTGCATTCCCTCTTAACCTAGCAATTCCAAACTGAACAATTAGCCGCTGGTGTTTACCGGTGGCTTGAGAGGAAGATGAGTGTGTGCCGGGGAACAATGGGGTGTTCTGACTGTTCAGGGTGGAACTGCTGGTTCTGATCCAGAGCTGGGCCCGGGCGGGAGAAGTGGTGGCTCCTAGGAGGTGTGGCCAGCCAGACGAGCCGCCGGGCTGGAGGGCTGGTGGGGCCTGGCCTGCGCTGCCCCCCAGTCTCGGTGGGAAGAGCAGGTAACAGGGTTCATGTCTCTCCTCCAGTGATGAGTTGACGCTGGAAGGCATCAAGCAGTTTTTTGTGGCGGTGGAAAGAGAGGAGTGGAAATTTGACACGCTGTGTGACCTCTACGACACACTGACCATCACGCAAGCCGTCATCTTCTGCAACACCAAGAGGAAGGTGTGTGGCTGTGCCCTCCCATGGCCTTCTGGTGCCAACTGAAGCTCGGTCTCTGCGGAGCTGGGATGGGCGGGTGTGGGGGCGGGAGTCTGCTTTAGGCTTTGTGGGCACGTGGTCTCCGGGACAGCTGCCCGCTCTGCCCCGTAGCACAGAAGCCGCTGTGGGCGCGTGCTCAGTGGAAGCACAGTGTCGATTCCAGTCCCACGCCGTCGGTGGCAGGTGGCTCAGCTGTGGGTGTTCCCACGTGAACAGACGGGGGGGTTTTCGTGCCACTAGCCGGGCAAATGACTGTCCTCGCATCCAGGGAGGAGTCCGCGTTTCAGCGCGCCTGCTCTACGGGTGGCTCACTGGGCTCCGCGATGATGCGCTAAGTCCTGAGTCCATCTCTGCTTTGGGAGCTCAAGGAGCATCTGCCGTTTGGTTGGTAGGTTGACTGGCTGACAGAGAAAATGAGAGAAGCCAACTTCACGGTGTCATCGATGCACGGGGACATGCCGCAGAAGGAGCGGGAGTCCATCATGAAGGAGTTCCGTTCCGGCGCCAGGTGGGTGGGCTCGGGGTGGGGCATGCAGGTCTGTGGGCAGCAGCTTTCTCTGAAGGAGGGGCGGTGGGAGCGAGCCCCTCCACAGCCCGAGGCCGCTGCTCCATAGCTTTGTGGAAGGACAGTGTCTTCCAGGCAAGGCCCTGCTGGCATCGCCATGGCCTGTGGTTCCGTGACTGGTGCGGTGAGACGTGGAACTTGTACTCAGACCCCACACGTGGCCCCATCACCACGCTCACCCAGGGGCCTTGAGAAGGGTCTTTCTGGAGCTGCCCCTTCCCCACGTGGACAGGGAGCGGGTGACTGGCATCCAGTCCTGAGCCTTTATGACTGAGTGACGGCCTCGCGTCCCCTTCTTGCCGCAGCCGGGTGCTCATCTCCACCGACGTCTGGGCCCGGGGCCTGGACGTCCCTCAGGTGTCCCTGATCATCAACTACGACCTGCCCAACAACCGGGAGCTCTACATCCACAGGTAGGGCGCCGCCCCGTCCCTCAACACCCCCTGCCGCCGGGCGCCTGCACGCGGTCTGCGCTGTGTGTACCAACGGAATCTTCCTTCTCCCCAAGAATCGGGCGGTCAGGGCGGTACGGCCGGAAGGGCGTGGCCATCAACTTTGTGAAGAACGACGACATCCGCATCCTGCGGGACATCGAGCAGTACTACTCCACGCAGATCGACGAGATGCCCATGAACGGTGCGCGGGGCCTTCCACCCTCATGTCCCGGGGCTGCGAGGGGCTCTGCTGGGGCCTCAGTTAATGCGTCTCCTTTTGTCTGTTTTCCTGCTTTCAGTTGCCGATCTGATCTGAGGCATCTGCTGTGCTGGGGACGATTTGGCCGGCTCTGTGTCCCCTCGGGACTGTCCAGAGCAGTTTCTCTTGGAGGAGGTTATGATGCACATGTGATGGAACCTTGACCCCTTTGACATTGTCAGGGCGTGGCACTACCTGCAACTCATGGGGAGAAGGATGTGTGAAGGCACACAAAGTAAAAAGGGGAAAACAAGTCTATAGTAGCACCTCGAAACGCCCAGGATTCAGTCTTGGGTTCTGTCTTCTTTTCTTACCTACATGTAAATAATGCTTTGCTTTTGGTCTTTTTCATTAAACATTTTAAACTTTGCCCGTGAACTCTCATTTCTGTGTCCTGAGCTACCACACCTTCCTGTACCGCACTCTGCTCGCTGAGCCCCTCCCCGTGCTGTGGGATGGATGAGTCTAAATTTCCAAGTTCATTGGTGATTCTAACTCCAGCCTCTGAAACTATAGTTTATGAAAGGAATTTCCTCTGAAATAATAGGAAAATCAACAAAACCCAATGTTGGTTCTTTGAAAAGATCAAGAATGTTGACAATTTTTAAGTGAAATTGACCAAGAAAAGACTCAAATTACCAAAATCAGGAAAGAGATGTTACAGTTGCCCTCAGAATAAAAGGTCACTATGAGCAACTGTGCCAATAAGTCGGGTCGCCCCGATAAAGTGGATGGAGACCAGGTGTAGTCAGCATGAGGCAGAGGCGAAGGCAAGACCAGGGCGGGCAGAAGGAGGCTTGCAGTCGTTCGGATGGAAAATGCAATAATCACCCAACAATAAGTTGTCTCATGTACTCACAACCCAGCCTACTTTTGCCCACGCTGTATAAAGGCACAAATAAGTTGAAAATTAAAAAAACCAGTGGAGAAACCACGGTGCCACACTGACCACCACTGGGGTGGCCGAGTCCACAGTAAAGGGTTCCCCAGGACAGGGAGGTTTCATAGGATGAAGGGTAATTTATCAAAGCCATGCAGCAACCCTCAACACCTGTGCACCTAGCAGCTTCGGAACAGGAAGCAAACGCTGGCCTGCACAGGTTAGGCCAGTGCAGTGGGGGTGGGAGCTCAGTGTCCTCAACCTCCCACCGGAGCCACCTGGGAGGGACGGGTAGGAGGCACCGAGGGGGCGGGCCTCAGAATCTACAAGCCCCTGACGGATAATTGAAAGGTGAGTTCTGCAAGGTCAGCCTCTCCAGATCACCTGTGCTGTTTGCAAGCAACGCCATGGGAAAGGGAAATGTAAAGAACCCCCTTTAATAGCATCCAATGCGGGGAATACCCAGGGCTGCAAGGTCTGCATTGAACCCACAAAACATTGCTGTGAGGAACTAAAGACGCAAATAAGTGAGAGACTGCCCCAAAGGACTAGAAGAGTTGGGGGAGGGGGTCTCCTCAGCCCAGCCTGCACCCTCTCCAATCTGGGATCCCTCTCACAATCCTGGACCGCTGGCTCCTAATCGCTCACCTGCCTGCCAGCCTGGTTGCCCCCAACTGCTCCCCCACCCTGCCGCTGGCCTGGTCGCCCCACCAGCGTGCTGTTCAGTTGTTTGGTCATCCCTCACAAACCCCCTGCCCAATTTGCATACTACCTCTTTATTACAGAGGATGGCGGTTCTCCCTGAGTTCACCTACCCATTCAACAAGGCCCCACTCAAAATACCAAGAGACACTGTTTTGGTGAAAACTGACAAGTGGCTTCTGAACTGCATCTGGAAATACAAAGCCAGCAGAGTAAAACAACTGGAAAAGTGGACGCATTGGAGGACTCCCACTGCCTGATACCAAGAAATGTCACCAAAGCTGGCCGGCGTGGCTCCGTGGTGAAGCGTTGACCCATGAACAAGGAGGTCACAGTTCAATTCCCAGTCCAGGCATATGCCCCGGTTGTGGGCTCCCTCCCCAACATGGGGTGTACAGGAGGCAGCCGATCAATGATTCTCATCACTGATCTTTCTCTCTCTCTCCCTCTGAAATCAACCTAAAAACATACCAGGAAAAAACACTGGGAAAAAAATATTACTGAAGACACCGTGGACTGGCTGAGGAGGCCTGTAGGTCCCTGAGACAGAAATAAACAGACCACAGGCACACAGGGAATGGGTTTGAACAAAGGTACTGAGGCAGTTCCATGGGGAAAGGATAATATTTTCAACAAGTGGTGCCAGGACAATGGGCTGGTCATACAAGAAAGAAAACCAGAAAACCTGGACCAGCCTTTACTTCATTGCATCGATCAAACCTCGCTGGAAACGTAAGACTTAAAATTACAAAACTTCTCTAGGAGAAAAGTCATGGGGACTTTGGGTTTAGCAAAGATTTCATTAAAGGGGGTAAGAAATAGAAGCAAGATGTGCTCATCACAATGAAAAACGTTCACTCCTCAAAGACATTGTTAAGTGTCTCCGTGTCATGGCCCCCGGGCACACCCTCTGTGCCCTGGATGCCAGGGGCACCCAGAGGCTTGGCCAGATGCCGCTTTTATTACAAATAATTGCACTTAAAATCTTTCCCAGGCAGTCTCCCGAGGTCCCAGCAGGCGGCCCCCAGCTCCGTCCTGTCAGGGCAGTAGCAGAGCCGCCCGGGCGTGACTCGGGGCACAGGTACCACGTGGCCCCAAACGCCACCTTCCCTGCCATCAGGGCAGGCAGCTGGGGGTGGCCGATGTTCCACGCATCCCAGTGTCGGGCTACGGAGAGCAAGGCTCCAGTGAAACATTCCAAACCCAGGCAACCCCGGGACACTGGCCCAACGTGGGAGCTGGACCAGGAAACTGTGATGCAGGTGCCGCTGGCCCAGCGCCCAGCACAGGAGGTAGACAGGTGAGCAGATCTGTGTGCTGGAGGGAGGTCAGCGCTACACGACATGGGTGAACGCCAGGGGTTGGTGAAGTCGGGGAACTCGAGGCCCCAGTCAAGACCAGCTGATGAGAAACTGCTGTCCCATCGTCAGCGAGACTGGGATGTCCAGGGTCTGGGAACAAGAAAGAACCATTGGCCGCCAAACCATGGAGCAGAGGGGAGAGCCCAGCGCCCAGCAGGCAGGAGTGGCGGCTGACCCGGCTGGCGGGGACAGTGCTCTCAGCTCTGGCCGCCTCAATCAAGCTCTTGAACACGGCACGTCAGCGCAGACACAGGCAGAAGGAAGATAAGGTGCCGGGGGCCGATCCTGCCCCCTCCCCCAAGATCCAGTTCCTCCCGCACCTTGTGAGGCCCAAACGTCCACGGCTTCGAGACAGCATGTCCCCTGAGGCCAGCCTGGAGGACACTGTGTCCCCAGGGGCCGGCCACCCCCACCCTCACCCGTCCTGGGGGACAGCCCTCTGGCCCGTCCTGGGCTCTTGCCTGGGTTTCGGGGCTGTAGGTGAAGTTGGAGACAGGAACCCCATTGGCAAGGACCTGCTTAGGGGCGGAGGCCACGCCCAGGAGGGTCACCCTCCTCAGCTGCAGGGCGGCCCCCTCGCTGCTCACGTGCACCAGGTCGTTCACAACGGTGTTCTGGGCCAGCAGGACAGAGAAGGGGTGTGAGCAGACGGCAGCGGGGAGCCCCCAGGACAGGCCTCTGCACAGCCCCGGGAATGGCGGAGGGCCTCGGCCCAGCCCGGCCCAGCGGCACAGGCCCTGGGTGAGCTGGCAGTGTTGGGACTCGGGCCCACTCCTCTGCGGGCTGACAGCCTGCACTCGGGGTGACCATCCCGGGACCCAGACCCGGCTCCCCTCACCCCAGGCTGGCGCACACTCCACCCCTGCTCGGCGCGGGCAGGACTCACATTCCTGGCCAGGAAGACGAGCTGTGTGTAGGCCCCGTGCTCCAGCACCCCCAGGCTCTCCCCGTCATCCCAGAAGAGCTCCCCGCGGGCCTCCCCGCTCGAGGTCAGGGCCACGGCCAGCGCCATGGGCTGCTTGCGCGACTCTGTGGTCGTGAGGCCAGGACCCTGCAGACAGGGTGGCACATGTCACCTGGCAGAGCCTTCGACCCAGGCGGGAAGGACACGGCGTGGGACCAGGGTCTGCAGGACGGCCTGCTGTCGAGTGGCCCAGACCCTCAAGGAGGCCAGCTGTCCGAGGCGGACTCCCGAGGACAGGAGAGGCCACAGATGTCTGCAGACTGGCTGACGCGTCCGCTGGCCCGGCCACAAGTTAGCGGGCTGTCTCCCGAGCCTCCCACCTGGACCCGTTCCTCCTCCACCCTCAGGAGATGGCTGCCGGGGCCGGGCCGGACCCCAGCGGCACAGAAGCCATGTGGCCCCGGACAGATGCCTCGGTGTCGGCCAGGTACCTGCAGGGGGATGATGTGTCCGGCCCGGAGGTGGAGGTTGATGGTGTCCAGGGGGGCCGGCAGCGTCACCCACTGGCCCTCGCTGTGGATGGCAGGCTTGAGGGGGGCCGCAGGCGGAGGCGGGAGGCTGCCAAGGGCCTCTGCTGGCACCTGGATGGGGACGGCACGTCACCGAGGGCCCTGGGCGGTGCCAAAGCCCCGTGCCGCGGTCAGGAGCCGAGGACTCCACGGGGAGAAGGGGGCCTGGCACAGACAAGCTGGTGTGACCTCAGGGCAGGGGCCCGGCCACTTGGTGGGAACAGGGCAGGAGAGGCCCGAATCCTGGGCCCGGGTGAGGCAGGCCAGAGGGCACCGGGAGGGGCAGGATGTTGGGGGCAAAAGAAGTGGGGTCCTGGCTCGCCCTGTAGCAGGGAGGGCCAAAGCACCCGGGCATGTTTCAGCTGAGGCTCAGTCTGCACATCGGAAAATGGGTTCCTGCAAGGACGGCACAGGATGACGCCCGGGAGGGCACAGGCGAGGCCCAAGGATCTCGGGGGCAGACACAGTCCACGCTGACAGGACAGGAGGGAGGGACCCTCTCGTCTCCCAGTTCTCCGGGTTAGGGACCCGGGACTCACCGTCTGCAGGTCGTACCACGTGCCGGCGGGGAAGTAGCCCGTCACTTCCACCTTCCCAGCCTCGAGCACCGGCGTGATGAGCAAGGCCGCTCCCCAAAGGAGCTGGCGGTCCACCGGCCAGGTGCGGGGGTCCTCGGGGAACCTGCGTGCAGAGGCCGGGAGCCTGGAGCCCTGAGGCCCACACCATGAGCCCCGCAGGGAGGCCCGGAAGCAGCCGGAGCCCGCGTGCGGGAGCCCAGGAGCCCGCACTTGGCTGGGACGGCAGGGCCGCTCTCCGACCCACTGGTCAACACCGGGAGGACGGACCCTCCCCGTCGGCAAGGCGACACGCAGGCGCTGCCCTGCCCACTGTCTGTCTGTTCTTAGTGCTGGTCTGACCCCCAGGCCGCTCTCGTTCCAGGAACCCTCCCATCTGCTGCTCGTTTTCTACACTAGTGACCCACCTGACCTTCATGTTTGTGGTGAGGGGAAGGGAACCTGGATTTTCCAATCGCCAACTAACGACCTAGCCACGTGAGGACCCTGAGGCTGCGGATGGAGGCACCATCTACGCACGGCACCTCCCATGTGACCAGAGCCTGGGCGGGTGCGACCATGGCAGTCTCTCGACTCGCTTTTCCTCCGCTGGCCTGGTCCCGCTCAGGGCCTTCGTGCCGGCTTTCTCTGGACTTGGACTGCCCCAGCCCTGAGCTGGCGTCTAAGGGGCGGGAACTGGGGTGCAGGGGGGACCCCGGGAGGGAGGGCCTCGGCTCACTCAGCTGCAAACCTGCTCTGGCTGGGTTCCGGGGACTCTCCGGTGGCAGGACGTGCTACCCCAGGGTCACTGGGCTGGTGGTGGCCCCCTCCCACTGGGCACCCATGGGCCATCGTCCCCGCCCCGGGGCACTCACTCCAGGAAGAGGGGCCGGGCCATGGTG